GTCTGCCGCCCCCCCCCCCCGCCCCGTGACTCCTCGCCTGCCTTTAGATCTTGACACCCCTACCCTGACTTCAGTCTTGCCAGATCTAGAGTAGTGGGGCCCCTCACTCTGAACAATTTGACCGCCAGAGCCTGAAATAGTCTGGGGTTGGACCCCTCACGACATTTATCCCCCTTCCCGACCTCTTAGGACCTACTCTGTGTCCTCATCGATGACGGAGGATTCCTGGTACTGTCAAACCAGAACCATCAGTGGGACCAGGTAAGGGTCGGGAAGAAAGTGGAAGGAAGGTATAGGTCACGGCCTTCTAGAGGTGTGGCGCTGCTGCCGGCCCTGTAACCATGGCTCCCTCCCTGCATCACCAGGTTGGCAGATTCTTCAGTGAGGTGGATGCCAACCTGATGCTGGCACTCTACAATAACTCCTTCTACACCCGGAAGGAATCCTATGACTACCAGGCAGCCTGTGCTCCCCAGCCTCCTGGCAACCTGGGTGCTGCACCCCGGGGTGTCTTTGTGGTGAGCTCCCGGATATGCCCGGAGATGGGGAGTTGGGAGACCCGCCTGCAGTGACCCCTCCCCCGCCTCTAACATCTGAGGGAGCTGGGGTTGACCTAGAGCCAGAGGCAACAGCATGCATGCATGCTCCTCTCTCTGCTGCAGCCCACCATCGCAGACTTCCTCAACTTGGCCTGGTGGACCTCTGCTGCCGCCTGGTGAGTCCTGGAGGAGTGGTTGGTAAGGCTGGCCGGGAAGGCCCTGCCTCTGCTGACCGCCAGGACTCGGTGCCCCGTGCTCTACAGGTCCTTATTTCAGCAGCTGCTCTACGGCCTCATCTACCACAGCTGGTTCCAGGCAGGTAGGTAGGGCTTTAGAGGCTCGGCCTCACACCCACCCACATCCCGGGTGGGAACGGCCTCCCGCTTCCCCGGGAGGGCGGGGCTTAGGGCGGAGCCAAGCTGAGGCCGACACCGTGTCAGGGTCTGTGGGCGGGGCTGAGGCGTCTGGGCCCCGCAGACCCGGCAGAAGCCGAGGGCAGCCCCGAGACGCGCGAGAGCAGCTGCGTCATGAAACAGACCCAGTACTACTTCGGCTCGGTGAACGCGTCCTATAACGCCATCATCGACTGCGGAAACTGCAGCAGGTACGCGTCCGCCGAGGGGCGGGGCGGGGCGTGCCGGAGGGGTGTGGCCTGTTTGGTGGGGCGTGGTCGGGGGTGGAGCGCACCTCCAAGGCCCCGCCCTCCGGTGGTCCCCGCAGACTGTTCCACGCGCAGAGACTGACCAACACCAACCTTCTGT